AAAGACACATCAAAGTTGGGAAATATGTTCACTGGAAACTGTGCAAGCAATATGGATTTACCGTCTGCATAAAATGGTATGAACATAAACCTGAAAAAGTAATGGACAACGACACAGCAACAATCCGGATCCTATGGGACATGCAAGTACATACAGACATAACCATCACAACTTATATGCCCGACATTATAGAGAAGAACAAAGAGAAACGATGTTCCTTGATAGACGTGTCAATCCCAGCAGAACGAAATGTGCCCCTAAAACAAGAAGAAAAACTCTCAAAGTAGAAAGATCTAGAAATAGAAATAAAAAACATGTGGGGTATGGAAACAAAAACCGTATCTATTGTCATTGGGGCACGGGCTTTAATTCACAAAGGGCTAGAACAATATGTCAACCATTCATTCATTCAGGGACATCTGTATCACAGAAGTACAGAAAATTGCTCTCCTTGGAACTGCACATATCATTAGAACAACTCTCATGATTACTTGATTTTCGATTTCTTTTTTCCCTTTTAATTGATTTCTTTTATTTTTTATTTTAATTACACCTCGTATTGTAAATATATTCTTGTTTTCCCAAGGCCTGCATGGATTGGACTCGCTAATCTAAGAATTTTGTAAGCAGAATTGAAGGAAATTGCAAATAAAGATAATAATAATAAGAAGAAATATTATCGGTCATCTGGTCAAGTCCCTTGTCAGACTTCCATAAAGTAACAGCAACAAACCAATACGCCTTACCTGTACGTTCGTACCCAATATGGAAGCAGACATGGTCACAAGAAATATAGGTATTCTTAATAGCATATATATACATGAGAAAAATACCTGAATTCTTAACGAATACTTCTTGATCCATCTTTTAAAACATAGCAAAATGTTTATTTCTGCTGTTCTCGACGACCTTGAATTTGTCGCAACGCGATATTTTTTGTGGATTTTTATACGAGTATATAGTTTTGCTTTGAAAAATCAACCGGAAACCTGGTGATATGTCGTACGGATGGACGGAATTGATCTCATCAAGCCTTCAAAAAGTAAACTCGATTATATATATTTTTCTTCTTAAAGAATCTTAGTCAACTCACAACGCATTACGCGCCAGAAACAATGAAATGTTATGCAAAGCGCCATTTTCTCTGCCAGGCAAAATCGCGGTTTTATAGGTAAAGTTTGGGAATAAATAAGTTCCATCGGTCTTGTTATTTCCAGGATGTGGTATGGCCATCATGATATACTATGACACATAGTTATTTAAAGCTTTTCGCGAGATTAGAGGAATTTTGCACACCAAAAAATTGCCCTTTCAAGCGCGGCATTTGCTCTGGTCTTCTCCTATTATGCAATTTATAATATTGCTTCATTCATAACAAATTTCACCAATCATAGTCCACCGTTTCTCACATTTCCAAGGATTTTTTGTTGTGGTTGCCCGTGAAAACATCAATGTATAAATATCTAAATCAATAAAGCAACAAGGGTTTTCAATGATATCTAGAAGAATAACACCTCCAAAACCTTGAAGTAAACCTGAACGAATCGTTTCTACGTGCTTGTAATCCCAGAATAGTAGGGGTTTCCTCTCATTTAATTCAGCGTCAGTTTTTCATTTACTTTCATTTTCGGATTACTTGGACTCCATAGTAATGTGTCAGGAGCAGCTGCTAATCGCGGGAGACTTCATGTGGATGATTAAAGAACAGTGACTCGAAGGAGTTTCTAGCTTTAGGAGAGTCGTATGGTCTACAGTAGCATGGTACTAGGTACACCCACAAATATGGTCATACCCTGGACCTGATTGTCACGCGCTAGTCTAATCAGTTTATTAAAGATTTTCCTAGTGTTGACTGGTATATTTCCGATAAGGCTAGGCACGGCAACATCCCCTGCTAATTTTAAAATCTTAATTTACTTATTAGCATGTAAACTTTGGTATCTTGGATTTTGTTTCATATAGAACTATGGTTTACTATCTTTTCTAGATATTTCAAGGTACAAGATCTCACAATATTATTAAAAAAGGGAATTTAATGCCTCTGCAATCTCACTTGCAGAGGTTATGCTCAAACTTATGGTCAACTTAATAGTATGTTTCGCTAACGCACTGGGAACATTATATAACCTGGTTGAAAATTCGGGCCATCCAATGTAGTTAATTGTTTTTAAGAAATCAATTAATATGTGCAGTTTTACGACATGGAGTATTTAATCGTAAATATGCAAAAGTAAATGTTAAGAGTTTTCTGGCCCTATTTAAGCAATTTCTTTTTCGATTATCAAAAGAAACGGTTAACAAAAAGTTGGAAAAAAAACAAAAAAAACCACACAGTTGCTTGGGATCTAAGAAACTAGAGTAACAATGAAAGTGTATTATATCGTTTTATTCTTCATTGTTGTAGATGTTATGTTAGCTCAAGATGATGGGGAACTCATATGCTCCGTTTACACTAGCGATTTTTGCTGCGAATTTTTTGCGATATTGTCCTTAATAAATAATGGTAAATAATTAACTTGTAAAGTTTTTTTCAGRATACCAARYTTTTCCTAGACGAATGTCTCTTTTGAAGGATGAGACAAAAGATTTCATATTTCCGAAAATTGCTACAAAGATTGCAGCAAAAAAAGCCGCAAAAATCGCCAGTATAAACGGGGCTTTAGGTGGTGAAACGAGAATTAGAACGGATTACGAAAAAACCCGGAGAAAAAGAACTAATTATTGTGTGGCATGGATCCGCAGAGATAACTGTAAAAAACCAACAAAGGAAAAAAGAAAGACGAAAAGGGAAAAATTACTTCAAAAGGTGGGAATAGCACTGGGTTAATGTTATCAATATAATACCTCTTTCTCTCTTTCTCTTCGAACTTTGTTAGGTAATTAATTCATTAGTTATATTTTAACACTGCAACATATATTATTCTTCAGTTTTGTTTTGCTTTGTTTTTTTTGTTTTTTTTCTGCTGGGGGGGTGGGCTTCAGTCCCCTCC